CTAAAAGGAATGTTCCTTTCTTGAGATATTGAATTTTCAAAAAATAGTCATCTGCCACAGATTGGTCACAAAAACCGAGTTCACTTGAAAATTCAATATCTCAAGAAAGGAACATTCTTTTTAGCTGAAACTTTCAGAATATTCTAAGAGCCATTAAATCTATCTATGGGCGAAATATCAAGTCGAAATTTCCTATTTTGATTTTTTCGTAAATACCTGGGAATGGGTCGAAAATTCAATAAAACGATCATAACTTTTGAAGGAAGAACATTGGGGAAAAATCTCTTTAGAATTTTTACTACATCAATATACTCAATTAAATGAGATACGAACGAATCAAAACGGAGGGTATCATTTGAAAAGTTTCCCTCGTAAGGCATTACAGATTAGAGTTTTTGGATAACTTTTTTATACAATGTAGGTGCTCCTCCGAAGATCTATATGCTTTGTAATTTAATAAAATGATCATAACTCGACAAAAACGATTTAAGAAAATAAAACCTTTTAGAGTTTTCATTTAAACAAAGAGTTCTACTTATGAACAAATTCGATATAATAAAGACAAATCGCGGAAATTAATTTTCTTAACAAGATTTAATTTCTTTTGTGAGAAATATAATGTGATAAATAATTCCCTATCATGTACTTGTAAAATAATATTTACATATAAAATTTTAGGTAGTGATTCAAAGAAGAAATGACTTTTTCATTGAATCATATTTCATTTAATTTTTTTTCTTCTAGGTATGAATTATACGATCCATGTACGATTATGTTTTTCTATCGTAATAAACATATTATGATCGATCTTGGTACAGGCAACAACAATAAAATAAGTTGGGCTTTAGAAGATACACAAGAATTTATTGATATCGTCGAAACAGTTTATCGTGGAGCTCGTAAAGGTCGTGGTTTAGTTATTTCACCAAAAGATTATTCTACAAAATATCGTTATTAATTTCCATGTTTCTCTTTTTGTTTGTAATAAAATAAACTAGATTTTTCTTTTGTGAATATATCTATATATTCATTCTCAAAGCTTGATTAAATAAAAAAAACGAATTTGAAAAGACTCGACAACTGTTTGTAGATATGACAACAGATCAAATGATAACAACTAATGCTTATCGATTGTTTATAAATCGATTATGTCAATCTTGTCCTTTAAAAAATCATTGTTCTTTGCTAAACAAATTTACCGAACAACAGGTAGGTTTTTTTTTCGTATAAAAATAATTTCAAATAAGAATAAATTAATAGAATGATTATATTCTTTGACGAAAAAAACAAAAAAATTCCAAGAAACTCTTATTTTGTTATTATAGGAAAGAATATCACTTGAATCGACTTCAGTTAATCATTCCGATATACAAACAATAAATAATAATCTTAATGTTTCATCTCTTCAACATTGTTTTCTATGTCTTAATATTTTACATCGTTATACTTCAGAGGAATTTATTCAACAAGTAAGATTAATATTCTTTTTCAAAATTTATATATTTATTTGTTAAATTAAAGATTAAACAAGTTGCTCAATCAACAACAGTTGATTTTCAAACATTTTGTTGTAATCTTACTCTACCAATGAATTTATTTATTCGACATGTAAATTTTAAAAAAATTCATTTTTTTATACAAAATCTTTCCGAAAGTCGAAACGAAAAACCAAAACTTTAATATCTTCTCAGCAATTTTGCAGAAATTTAAACATACATTTTTTTTTTAACAGTTTCATCACATATTCATTAAGGATAACTTTCCGCTTTTCAGATTTCCTGAAGAACAGTTCATCAGAAAAGTTTGAAATTTTTAGAGTAAGTAGATCTTAACTACCTAGTAGAGCAAAGATTATCATAAACTTAAAAATTTCAGAATGGGTATCATCTTTCCCGTTCTTGGCCGTTCCTTTCTCAAGAAACGTGATCTAGTAATTTTCTAAATGCGTCGAAATGTTTATACATTTACGCTTATTTTTTTCTTTGAGATCATTATTCGTTGTTCTGTTATTTTATGCGGAAACATCTCTTATTAAAGCAGTACAAGATATAATTTGTTTAAAAGTGGTATGTTATCCTTTACCCTAAATCTGGTACCCAGAATGCATCCCTGAATCGAATCCACATTTGTGGATAATAAAACGAAAATTAATCCAGATTAGGGATTTTGATTTAGGGATGTTCTA